TTTCCGACCCTCGCATCCGAGCCTCGCCTTCACGCCACCTGCCCCTCGCTGCTGACACCACCGAGCTGCTTCGCTGCTTGTTTCCTTCCCAGCCGACTCCGAACCTCGGCCCTATATAAAGGGGGCTGCGAACCCTCCCGGCTAGAATTTAAAAATTACCACGTTTAGCCTCTCTTTCCATATTTTCTTCATTTTGACTTTCCCCGAAGCCCCGGTATCAATTTTAGCAACCAAAACACGTCCCGAGACCCCCGAGAAGCCCGTAAATTTTATCTTTTCAGTTTTAAATTCCTACCTTCGTAGAGCCCGGTTTTCAATTAAGCTCCCGATTTTCAACATAGAAAATCATATTTAAAGCCGAAGTGCTGTCCAAATTACTATTTTAACCCCCGGTTAACTTAAGGTGAGTTCAATATATAGGAAGAATTGTATGTTATGTGTTATATGTGCTATGTGCTTTTCAGTATTATTATTCTGAGTTATTTTCTCGTGTTATTCGCTATGTTTATAGCAATTGTAATACCTTTGACCATGTGATCAGTGAAAGGACTTAGATTCACATTGGTACTGGTACGTAGCCTCTGGCCATGTAGAGAATGTCTTCGTAAGAGAATGTCTTCTATTCTATGGCATTGGAAAATGGTTAGACAGGATTATAAGCCTGAAATCTAATAAGATGTTAATCAGAAATTGCATGTCTTCTATGCCATTTGGGCCAAAGCTTTATTGATGTATATCAAGAATTGAAAAGTATATCTTTGAATAAAGTCTTTGATTGATATGAACACTTGTCACATGATCTGACATACATCTTGTTGTTCCTCTTTGCTTTTGCCACATTGAAGTATATATATGGCATAACATTATATTGTATCTATTTTTTGAACTCACTAAGCGTCACCGCTTACCCTATCAATGTTCAACAATTGCAGGTGATAAGTAACTAGTATGTTTACATACTATTGAAAGATATCGAATAGTTTGTATTAGTACTTTTGTACTACATTTTATGTTTGTATAAATTACAATATCCTGGGTAGTTATGTAATATCTATAACACTTTGTAATAGAAGGTTTGTATCCACTAGTTTGTAATTCCCTTTTTATCAATGTAAAATATTGCTTTTATAAATATGCAAATAGCATGTTTTGGAGTAATGATATTGTGAAGTACGAAAGTTTGGGTCTTTCAAAAATACGAAAGTTGGGGTCTTTCAACCATGGTATCAGAGCAGTAGTTTAAGCGAACTAAATTCCACGGATTGGTATTTAGACTTAAACTGTAGGAAGTCCAATATATGAACTTAATTACTGTAAGTATAGGGATACTGTTTGGGTGTCAAACCAACAAATGATGGGATAAAATAATATTAATATAACTCAAATCACTGCTATTTCTAATACTAAAGATAGTATAGAGTAAGCAGGGTCGGTCCACAGAGATACGAGACTTTTCATCTTACCATATTTTCACACATAATACAAGTAATATTTAAATGGGGGTTTGTATTTAAACTTGAATTAAACTTCATAAATAAGAAAGATTGAAAACAAACGCAGTAAAAGAAGTACATTTCCGATTCCGACTCTTATATATGTATTATGTTGAAAGATGTAATATGATTATAACTCATGTTCAATCTAGGTTAGTAAGTTGGATATTAATAAACTCTAATATCCAAATAGGCAAAAGTATTCTATTCAAAATAAGCTCTTTAAATAAAATTTCATTTATTTGATTCAACCCAAATAAGCTCTTGCATTAAATCATTAAATGACATTAAGTTCTTGCACTAATTACCAACAATGTTTAACATTCCTCTTAAGCTTGGGAATATAAACATTTAATCTTTGATTGCACTAATTTTGATCTAATTACAACCAAATAAGTGAGTGTTACTAACATCAAATCATAAAACATATACGAATTTCATGATTTGATTAACTAGATTGAATAGAACCCTAGTTCATTGATCAAGTGAAAAAGAGAACTAATCAAACACATGATTAAGATCAAATCAAAGATTACTAGATGTTAAACATAAGTCAAATTCAAGTTACAATCTAACAACACATACTTAAGAATTCAGATTCGGAAATGATAATAAAATCAACCACACATATCTAGGTTGGACTACAAATCAAACAAGTTTAAACTTCAAATTGACTTACAAAAAGAAATTAAAGTGTTTTCCAAGTGTTAATCTACTTGCAAAAGCTCTGAAAATCTTCTCTTCTCCTCCCAAAATCCGACCTAACCTCCATAAAAACTGATTGTCTGAATTATAAGAAGACAAAACCACTTTAAAACTGCCGAGACGTTTACACGGCCCGTGTAAACCAAAGGGTTCCATTTACACGGCCGTGTAAACAAGAAAAGTAGAATGCTTAAGTCTTCCAGGTCTTCGAAGTAGAATGTCCTTGCATATACGTTTACACGGCCCGTGTAAATCAAAGGCATAAATTTACACGGCCGTGTAAACTCCTGTGAAACCAAATTCTTCATTTCTTCATTCTCTCTCTTCAAAGCTCCAAAACTTCTACAACTTTGTATCCAACTCTTGATAACTTCCTCCAACAAGATCCAACCTTCATAAGTCCCTGAAATATTCTAAAAGCGTGTGAATGGAATTGCATCATGAAAAATCCCGAAATTATACAAAATGCATGAGTCTAAACCTAAATGTAATGCACTTTTATGAACTAAAACTATAAAAAATGAATGCATGAAATGCACCTAACAAATCTCCCCAAGCTTAAACCTTTCTTGTCCTCAAGAAAGAACAAGAAGATTTAAACTAGAAAAGAAAAAAAAATAGAATAGAAGAAAAGAAAATTAAAGTTAAGACTATTTATAACTTAATGCATGAAATCAAAACAAATATGAAAAGATCCAACCCAATTACCCTGTTTTGTACCATAGTTGAGAATGTACCTGTCATGCCTCGAGTTAACTTTGCTTTAGTCTCAAAATATTAAATGATAATAGAAACAAGACTTTGGCTACTCCCTAGTACAACTCAACAGAATTAAAGATCACAACACTTATTCCTTTTCAATATTATCAAGTCAATTCTTGGAAAAAATTATGGTCTTACTCTCGTGAAATTATATATGACAAAACATGCTCAACCATCTTTGTTTCATAAAATATAACAATGTTCGATTCCAGCTATTTGTTGGTCAACAACAATCTTTTTCTGAAAAATATTTTCTAAAAATTCCCTAATATTTATCTAGATTGGTTACAAACTTCAAACCACTTACACCAGTTGAAGTAATTAACATTCAATCCAATGTCATAAATTCAAATCCAAGTCCAAGGGAATCTTTTGACAGCCATTTATTTTTCCTAAACACAACATCTAATTAAACTATAAACACAACTATGTACAAACTTTCTAATTACACTTTTTTTTTAATAAATAAAGCTCATGGCTTTCTTTGAAATCCGTGTAGCAGGCTTTCAACCAACACATCCAAATCAAATGACCTTAGTGTGCTAGATTTAAAGAGATCCCTCGGGTTTACTTGCCCGAACCTCAAAGGCCACAGATTAGCTTTATTTACTATTATTAAGTTCATGACTTTCTATGGAACCCGTATAGCGAACTTTCAACCCAATCAATCCCAAACAATTTAGCTTTAGGTGATTAGGTGTAGAACACCCCTCAGAGTTTACTTGTTCGAATCCCAAAGGTCACAGATTAACTTAATAATAGTTTTTTTTTTTTTTTTTTAAATATAACACATATACAAATAACTAAGTTAACACAACACATAACACTCTTATTAATTTGTTTATTTGGCCAATTTCCTTATATTTCCGTCCTTGACTTTTCTATTGTGGGACATCTCACGGTCTATTACCGTGAGGGACTTCTGGACATTTTTCGAGGGATTAAATGTTAACATGCAAAAACCCGTAAGTATAGTTGAAAGCTATGTCCTCAAGCAGGGTATATATAAAAGGGAATAAGTAGAAAGAACTTTTAAGAGCGCTGGAAGGCGGGACATTGAGATTTTGCATTCTTTTTATGAACTTTTGAATTTGACATTTTAAGTTCAATTGAGCATTACTACTCATAAGACCGGTCATATGTCCCAAAGAATCGACTCATACCTGTTGTTATGCTCCAGTGTTGACAATCTTCTCATTTTCTGTTTTGCACAAGTAGCTTTGGGAGATGTGCTCGTGTGTGATTAACTTGCTTTTAGATTTTTTTTTCAATAAGAAAAGCAAGCCAATTTCAAGGCACATGACTCATTTACCTGCTCAACTGTTTTGAAAAGATTCGGTTGCTTGGGATTGGATCGTTTGTTTATTTATTTATTTATTTATTTATTTATTTTATAATTATGCAATGAATGCAATGCAAAAAATTAGATGCAAAGAAAATAATAAAAATTAGAATAGAAAGAAAATCTTTTTGGTTTTTGAAAAATTTTCCATGCAGAAAAAAAAATGAAAAAGAAAATGAAATGAAAATTAATGCAATATGTACAAAACTACATGCAACCTACATGCAACGGGATAATGCATGGATGGATACCCCTCCCCAAGCTTAAAGTATAGCATCGTCCTCGATGCTTGAAGAGAGGCGTAGCCGTCCTATTGAGGACCAGGCGGAGGATATGGAGGGAACTGTGAAGGGTAATCTGTAGGATAGTAGGGAGGCCATTGGGGTTGGGATGCTGATGGCTGCTGCGACTGTGTGGGGAGCACAAGAACTCTATGGATATCACTCAGCAGATGGTGAATGTTGCGGTTGTGCTGCTCTTGAGTAGCCCATCTTTGATCTTGCTCAGCCCACCGCAACTCTTGTTGGGCCCAATGCTCTTCCTGTAAGTTACGGTAGTCCTGAAAATCAGAAGTGATTTCAGCGACACCCGTATAAATGTCCCCGATTTCCTGTTGTAGACTGGTGTAACGATGATTCAAACGCGCAAACTCGCCCATATAAAGATTATGTTCAGAAAAAGGAATAGGGCGAGAGGAACTAGGCACCAGCAGCAGGAGCAGGAGGAGCAGGAGGAGGACTATGATCTACTGTAACACCTAAGTTGGATCTGAGTTTCCAATTAGTTGATGGAATATCATTGGCTAAATTGAGTATCTTCTTATTTCTGCTGTCTATACGTAGATACTCTTTCCCATCTACTGTCCAATGAATATCCCCAGTGGGAAGGCGGTGGAAAAGATGCATTGTTTCCATAACATCAATTGATAGACGAGTACGGCCCATGATGATGTTTGTTGGGTTATTAGGTAGATGGAGGCCAAGATGCTCTGCAATAATAGAAACCATGCCTCCACAATGTAGCTGTCCACCATTGCTCGTAGCACTTCTGAGCATTTTTTGAATAACCCAACAACCAAAATGAGGGACTTCTGCAGGCTTGTTAATCATACACCACAAGACTTCTAGCTCTTTTTTATTAGCTTTGCTAATCTCTTCTTGAGGGAATAAGAGAGAAGCAATGATCCGGTGAGCTACTTTCAAGACCGGATGGATAATGCTAGAAGCTTTGGCGATGCCTGATTGATACTCATACTCACAAGAGATGTTTCTCCAAAAATTTGCGCAGTCTTGCTCAAAAACAACATTTTTTCTACCCTTAGCTGTGTATATATCCCTTCTTGCTTTAGGAGCACCAATATATCACAAAGGATATCAGCATGAAATTGATGCGTTTGGTTGAGCAGACGGAAAGTTAGGAGATGGGTTTGATAGTCAAAGGAAATGGAAGACAAAAGTTCCAACATCGGTGTTTGGTAACTAACTGCATGAAGATTCAAAAGACCCTCCCATCCTATGTTTTTAAAAAGCTTGTGAACACCCTTGTATATGTGTAAATCTTTGAGGGCCTGGATGTCCACAAATTTTTGAGCACCCATTGTTCTTGTAACAAGATTTGCATACAAGATTTCCTGTCGATTGTTCTCAAAAATAAGACCAAATTCATAGGGGTTGTCTATGGCATGTGGGTCTTGTTCATCATGTGAAGTGCCAACTCTATGTCTTTTACCCCGGGAAGCCATAACCCAAATGAATCAACAAAATATTGCACACAATTAAGACAATTGAAGTACAAGAACTAGCAAGTTTCACCAAAAACACCCAAAAAAAGGAATGTGTTCTATCTAAATGCACAAAGTAAGAGTTTGGAACAATTATACCAATTTGTGCTTGATAATGGTGATAAGATGATATCCAATGCTTCCCCAAGCTATCCCCAAGCTTATCCTACAAGAAATTTGAAACATTAGGTTGAGATTTGAAGTTAAAAAATTCTAGGGTTTTGTTAAAAAAAACCCAAAATCGGCCATGGGAGAAGGATATAGATGTGGAAGATAAAGAAGATGAAGAAAAGGGAGGAATTTCATACCTTGGAGCTTGATTTTTGATGCAAAATTGAGGAAGATTGAGTATTTGGAAGGGTTTTTTCGAAAGGGGGCAGTAGGGAGAGAGGGAATCGCAGGTATTGAGTGAAGAATGAGTTAGAAAAATCGAGATTTGACCTTAAAATCGTTCAGCCCTGTTTTTGCGTTTACACGGCCCGTGTAAATCAAAGGGGAGGGTTTACACGGCCGTGTAAATCCCTGAATCATAAAAACCGTGTTCAATCGTTTACACGGCCCGTGTAAATGCAAGGCATAAGTTTACACGGCCGTGAAAACTTCTGAGAAAGCCAAAAAACTTGATTTTTTTTCACTTTTTGAAATTGCAACCCGCTAAACCTCTACTGCCCGAAAAATGATTTTTAACCCTTTTTTAGCATGAAAAACAACTTGGAAGTTTGAAAACAAAGAAAATACAATGAAAATATACTAAATGACAAAAATACCCCCGGGTTGCCTCCCGGTTAGCCGCCCCTTTTTAATGTCGTTGGCTCGACTTGGACCCCAACTATTTGTCAATTTTCATACTTTGGATCCATTACTTCCTCCACCTCTTCATTCTTGACTTGAAATCCTTCATAATAAGGCTTCAAACGGTGACCATTTACCTTAAAAATCTTCCCGGTTTTCTCACTTGTGATTTCTATTGCACCATGCTCAAAAACATTAGTGACAACAAATGGTCCCACCCAACGGGACCTTAATTTACCAGGAATCAATTTAAAACGCGAATGGTAAAGTAGTACCTTTTGACCTTTGTGAAATACCTTGCGTGTAATCATCTTGTCATGGAATGCTCTAGTCTTTTCCTTATAAAGAACCTCATTCTCATACGCTTCATTGCGGATTTCTTCCAATTCTTGTATGTCCAGCTTCCTCTTCTTTCCCGATTCACTTAAATCCATGTTGAACTGCTTGACTGCCCAATATGCCCTATGTTCCAACTCAACGGGTAATCGACACGGCTTTCCATAAACAATACGATATGGCGACATTCCAATTGGAGTTTTGTATGCAGTGCGGTACGCCCACAAAGCATCATCAAGGCGTGTACTCCAATCTTTCCTTGTTGTATTCACGGTTTTCTCCAAAATGCCCTTGATTTGTCGATTGCTCACCTCAGCTTGTCCATTTGTTTGTGGGTGGTATGCTGTGGAAACTTTATGAGTGACACCATATTTCTTCAAAACACTCCCGAGTATACGATTACAAAAATGTGTACCACGATCACTGATCAAGGCCTTTGGAACACCAAATCTGGAAAAAATGTTAGCCTTCAAGAAATCTATCACAACTTTTGAATCGTTAGTACGGGTAGCCTTTGCTTCCACCCACTTGGAAACATAGTCCACAGCCAAAAGAATATAAATAAAACCCGAAGATGATGGAAAAGGTCCCATAAAATCAATGCCCCAAACATCAAAAATTTCACAAACTAATATGGGGTTTAAGGGCATTTGATTCTTTGAGCTTAAAGAGCCCATTCGTTGACATTATCACAGCTTGAGCAAAAAACATAAGAGTCATGGAAAATACTTGGCCAGTAAAATCCACTCTCTAAAACTTTTCTTGCAGTCCTTTGAGGACCAAAATGTCCTCCACAAGCATAAGAGTGACAAAATGTTAAGATAGAAGCTACCTCATATTGATCCACACATCGTCTAATCATTTGGTCAGCACAATATTTCCACAAATATGGCTCATCCCAAACATACCTCTTGGCTTCTTTCTTGATCTTGTCTTTTTGCCATCGAGTTAAATCTGGTGGAAATTGATTTGTGACAATGTAGTTCACAATATCGGCATACCACGGGGCAACTTTTGCTGAAAACAGATTTTCATCGGGAAATGCATCATGAATGGGAGTTGAAATCTTCGGGAGAAACAATCCTGCTAAGATGATCAGCTACAAGATTTGACTTTCCGCTCTTGTCTTTGATTTCAATGTCAAACTCTTGCAAGAGTAATACCCATCGAATGAGTCTAGGCTTCGAATCTTTCTTTGCAAGTAAATACCTAATAGCTGCATGATCAGAATAAACAATGACTTTAGAACCTAGCAGATATTGACGAAATTTGTCTAAAGCAAAGACAATAGATAACAATTCTTTTTCAGTTGTTGAATAATTGGCTTGTGCACTATCAAGTGTTTTTGAAGCATAATAAATGACATTAGGAACACGGTCTTTTCTTTGCCCTAACACTGCACCAACTGCGTGATTACTGGCATCACACATGATTTCAAAAGGCAAACTCCAATCCGGTGATTGAAGTATTGGTGCTGTGATCAACAACTCTTTCAACTGATCAAAAGCTTGCTTGCACTGTTTAGAAAACTCGAATTCTGCATCTTTTTGTAGGAGCTCACACATGGGACGAGATATCTTGGAAAAATCTTTAATAAACCTTCTATAAAATCCTGCATGACCAAGAAATGAGCGCACCTCACGAACACAAGTGGGATAAGGTAAAGATTTTATGACATCTATTTTTGCTTTGTCCACTTCTAGACCCTTAGAAGACACAATATGACCTAGTATGAGACCTTTGTCAACCATAAAATGACACTTTTCATAATTCAAAACAAGATTGGTTTCAATACATCTTTGCAAAATCTTTTTCAAATTTCCCAAACATTCATGAAAAGAATTACCATAAACGGTGAAGTCATCCATAAAAACTTCAATGATTTCCTCAACAAATTCCGAAAAAATACTTACCATGCACCTTTGAAAAGTGGCTGGAGCATTGCAAAGCCCAAAAGGCATTCGTCTATATGCAAATGTTCCGAAAGGACATGTGAAAGTAGTTTTTTCTTGGTCCTCAGGTGCAACGGGTATTTGATGGAAACCGGAATATCCATCCAAGCAACAATAATGTGTTTTTCCCGCTAACCTTTCCAACATTTGATCAATGAAGGGAAGTGGGAAATGGTCTTTCCGGGTTGAGGAATTGAGCCGTCTATAATCAATGCAAACTCTCCACCCGTTTTGCACACGGGTGGGGACTAATTCACCTTGGTCATTCTTTGTAACGGTAATACCTGTCTTCTTCGGCACGACTTGGACCGGACTTACCCACTTACTATCTGATATAGGGTAAATCATTCCCGCATTCAACAACTTCAAAATCTCTTTTTTCACAACCTCCATCATTGGAGGATTCAGACGCCTTTGAGCTTCTCGGGAAGGCTTGTAATCTTCTTCCATAAGGATTTTATGCATGCAAAGCGAAGGACTTAGCCCTTTGATGTCGGCTATAGTCCACCCAATTGCTTCCTTATATTCCTTCAAGGTGGTGACAAGTTCTTCCTCTTCTTTTGTTGACAACTTGGTGGAAATGATCACTGGTAGAGTTTCCTTATCTCCAAGATATGCATACTTGAGATGCTCGGGTAAAGTTTTTAGCTCCAATTCCGGTGCCTGCACAATAGAGGGAACAAGTTTCTCATTAGACATTGGTATTTTCAGCTTTTGAACATCAAACCTCATTTTCTTCTTCTCATCCATACAAGACACAACCTCCATAATCTCTTTGTCAATTGTAAATTTATTGGCAAGTTTTTCCACTCTTTCCTTTTGAAGATTCCTGTCTAAAATAAGAGCTAACACATCAAGATTAGACAGATCAAAACACTCCTCTGTCAATGGTTCAATGACATCCACAAAATTCAAAGATGAAATATCACTTGGATATCTCATAGCATCATAAATATTGAAATTTATCACCTCCCCATCAAATTCCATGGACAATGTACCATCATAAACATCAATTTTCGTCCTGGCTGTTTTCAAAAAGGGTCTTCCTAGGAGAATTGAACTCAAATTCGGTGAATCATCATCATCCATATCAAGTACATAAAAATCTGCTGGAAATACTAGTTCATTCACTTGGACTAACACATCTTCTAACACACCTTTGGGATGTACTAAAGATCTATCAGCCAATTGAATG